GAAAAAATTGTGAAAATAAAAATAGATCAAATAATTAAGTAAAATTAGTATAAGTTGATGATGTATTTTTCTCTAATATAAATATGGATTCTACGTTGGAATAGAATGGAATAGAAAACACTATAAGAATTTGAGTTTTTATATGAATTTCTATAACTTTGATAAAATTGTTTAAATATTACAAATGAAAAGATCATGTTATAAAAAAAATATATTTTGTATTATTCTAATTTAATGGCTGTGATTTTGTTCGCATGTTATTGTTTTTTAATTATAATATATTTGAATAAATGAATAGATGAAACGGTGGGGTAATAATTCTTAAATGTTACAACTTTCATACCTAAATTGTATTGATTACCACTTGCTCTTATTTTCCTCTCTATAAAAACCAACGCTCACATCTTATCTTCTTATTCAAACACTATTCATGGCTTCAATAGCAATAGTACCCTTCTTGCTCTTATTTTCCTTATCACTTTGTCATTTGATTGGACATGTCAAAGTGGACGTAGTAACAAAAAATATATATATTAAGTGGTTTGTTAGTTGTTATTTGGATTTTTTTAAATTTGATATATGATTCTGTATTAGTATATATAGTATAATAAGAAAAAAAATTAAATATAATAAAGAATATAAAAAACAAATTTCTAAATATATATTTTTTAAAACAGAATATAAAAAAAATATGAAATATAGTAAATATTTTTAACAATATATTTTAAAAGTAAAAACAGTTTTATATATTTAATAAAAACGGTTTTATATATATATAATTTTCTAAATATATATATTAAAACATTTTTTACTACGAACAATTTTTATCATATATATAGTTTTTAATAAAAATAGTTTTCATTTATAGTCAAAATAGAATATAATAGTCAAAATAGAATATATATTTATTTTAGTAAAAAAACATTAACATGAATATAATAGTTAGGTATAAAAAATATTATTAATTTTTAAAAATATAATTATAAATAAAATATAATAAAAAACAAAATATGTTATATATTTATTTATTTTAAAATTGAATAATTCATTTTTTAAACTAATTATATATTAAAAGTAGAATATCTTATATATGTGCATTTAAAATAAATAAAATAGAATATAATTATATTTTATATTTCTTAAAAGAATATTATCTTTGTTAAAAAAATTATTGTTAATATATATTTAATATGTTTATTAAACGTATGGTAAATAAAATATAGTTTCAAAATAGTTATAAAATTTAATTATAGTTACTATAGTTAAATGTTTATTTATAGTTAATAATAAGACAATGATTGTATAAATGTGCAGTATGAAATATTATCGGTATGATCGTAGTTGGATGTACGTTAGATTGTATTCAAGAAGACGTGCACTTAAACACCATTTTATAGAAGGAGTTAATGAGTTTATCACGTGGACGTTTGTTCTGGAATATTGTCGAAGCGAAGGACGAGTTAGGTGTCCCTGTCTTAAATGTGATGTAGACCAATAATTAATGATCCAGAAGAAGTAACACATCATTTGCATAGAAGGGATTTCATTGAAAATTATTGGGTTTGGACGTATAATGCTGAAGAACTGCCAAGCAACGTACCAGAGACTAGCAACACACATTCTTCAAGTAGTCGACCACCTATGGAATATGAGGAAAAATTTAATCTGGTCGGTGAGATGGTTGAGGATGCTTTTGGTGTGAACGTGACATATGATCAACCTGGAGATTTTGACGGGAAGAGTTGCCGAATGAGGAAGCGCAAAGATTTTATCAATTGTTGAATGAGATGAATACACCATTGTTCGAGGGGTCATCAGACTCAAAGTTATCAAAGTGTGTGAGATTATTGGCCGCCAAGTCAAATTGAAATGTTCCTGATCAGTGTTTGGAACATTTCACAAAAATGATGTTGGATTCCACCGCAACAAAAGACAACTTGCCTACAAGTTTTTATGATGCAAAGAAATGGGTGTAGAAGTTAGGTTTAAAAGTAAGAAATATTGATTGTTGCATTAATGGTTGCATGTTGTTTTATGACAACAAGTTTGGTAATCAAGATGGATTGTTGGAGGAATGCAAGTTTTATAAGAGTCCAAGATATCAAGTTCGCAGTAGAGCTATTAACAGCAGGCAAAAACGTGTAGCAGTAAAGTCCATGTTTTATCTTCTGATAATACCAAGGTTAAAAAGAATGTTTGCTTCAATGCACAATGCAAGTCAAATGACATGGAATCATACAAACCAAATAAGTTCAGGCACTATACGACATCCATCTGATGGCGAGGCATGTAAGCACTTTGATCTGACACATCCTGATTTTTCTGCAGAACCTAGAAATTCCAGGCTTGGATTATGCTCTGATGGTTTTCCCCATATACGCAAGTGTCAGGAAGTATGTATTCTTGTTGGCCAGTTATTGTAATTCCTTACAACCTCCCTCTTGAGATGTGCATGACAAAACCCTACATGTTTTTGACGTGTGTCATTCCAGGGTCGTCCACTCCAAAATCCAAAATTGATGTGTACTTATAACCTTTAATTGATGATTTAAAGAGGTTGTGGATTGGATAATGGACTTATGATATATCTCGTAAACAAAACTTTACTTTGCGCGCTGTCTTGATGTGGACCATTAATGACTTTTCAGCATATGGCATGTTGTCTGATTGGGGTACGCATGGCAATATGGATTGTCAGCATTACATGGCATACACCAAAGCATTTGCGTTGGATAAAGGGGGGGAAAAGCTCGTAGTTTGACTGTCACCACATCCGTCCAATGCTCTCGGAACGAATGTTATTTTCTTTAACTTTATTTATTAATTACATGCAAAATTTTCTACAATATTATTTGTAAATTTTTCTATGAAAATATATTCACACAGAATTATTTGCAGATCCTCTAAAAATACAATTATTTTAAATAATTTTATATTAAAATTTAGAGAAAAATTTGTAAGAAGTTCTACAAAAATCAATTTTTGTAGAAAATTCCGCAAGAAATATCTTTAAAAGTTAGATTTCACAAGAAAATCTGTAGGAAAATAAAAAGTAATTTTATAAAAATTATAAAATAGGAAGATCCGCCCATTTAATTGATCGATGCATTTAAATTTATTTTTTTGAAAAAATAATATTTTAGAATTTATTAAGAAAAGTATGATAGTTTAGTGTATTTAAAATGAAATAAGATAGTAGTTTTGTAAAAATCTCAAATAATTGTACCAGTTAAGCATGAATTACGTTTTCTTTTCTAAGCTACTCGGATTCTTCCCGATAACTAGTTGTTTTTTCATTGTTTATAATATTTAACATTGATATATTAAAACATAAATAAAATCTTCTAAAATTCACAAACGGTTGATAAACAACAACCTTGAAATTATAAAGCGTTTATCCGAAAATGTTTGGTTTTTAAACTAAGTTTTACTTATCTTAAGTTCTCTTCAGTAAGATTATTATCGGGTTTATTTATTTCCTCATCATCAAAAGAGAAAGTAAGAATAAATGAACCATAGTTTAAAATGTCCTGTATTTCAAAATTATTAATTTTGATAAAAATTTGAAATCTCGCTGCCTACAAATTAAATAGGATTTAGACTTTGATATTACTAATTCAAACATAAGAGGAGAGGTGAACTGAATGAGATTGCAAAACCATTTTCAAATTGAAAACTATGAGAAAAGTCAAATTTTAAAATATTTTGTAAAACAAACAAGATAAATAGCGGCTGAAATAATAAAATAGCAAAGAGTTAAGGGAAATGAGAAAAACACTAGAGATTTACTGTCTATGAAGTGACATACTCCTTTCCTCAAAAACTTCTTCTTGATAGTTTCAATTATGATGAGATCTTTTAATAAGCTTTTTCCCGAACCTCGTTTTACAATAAGTGGAGTTTTATAGAGGATAACTTCCTAACCAACAATAAAATTTTACCTTAGGAGATCTCCACAACCAACATATAACTTTTAACAACATGCTAAGATCACAAATCGGCTGAGAGTTTTAAGTACAAATAATGTCCCTATGCTAGAAAAAAACCCATAAATATAATACTCCACTCTCCAAAGCACTAAGGAAAATATGAAAAGTTAAAGAGAGTAAGAAGAGAGTGCTTGATCATAGATCTTCGCTGGTTTCACCGATCACCGCTTGACATAAAGTGTTGTTCTCCAGATATAGCCATAACAAATATTGGTCTACAAACAAAAGAACTTGATCATAATTTTATCACCACGATAACTGAACTTGATCTTCAAGGGAGCACATCAACTAGATCAAATAACTGTTAGACACTCCAACTGCAACTGATCAACACAACTTGGCCATGTTATTCTCCAAAATTCATCTTGATCAACATACATTGATCTACATAACAAGATCATCTGAATAGATGATGACTAGATAAAAGTTGGAGATAATCTCTTGTTATGCAAAATCTCTTGTTTGATTGTAAAAAAAATTTGTGAACATAACGTGTAAAAAACTCACAACTTATATAGTACAAATTCTAAAGAAAAATTTGTGAAAATAAAAATAGATCAAATAATTAAGTAAAATTAGTATAAGTTGATGATGTATTTCTCTCTACTATAAATATGAATTCTACGTTGGAATAGAATGGAATAGAAAACACTATAAGAATTTGAGTTTTTATATGAATTTCTCTAACTTTGATAAAATTGTTTAAATATTACAAATGAAAAGATCATGTTATAAAAAAGTATATTTTGTATTATTCTAATTTAATGGCTGTGATTTTGTTTGCATGTTATTGTTTTTTAATTATAATATATTTGAATAAATGAATAGATGAAACGGTGGGGTAATAATTCTTAAATGTTACAAGTTTCATACCTAAATTGTATTGATTACCACTTGCTCTTATTTTCCTCTCTATAAAAACCAACGCTCACATCTTATCTTCTTCACACCAAAAATATCAAACTTGTTCAAAGCTTAACCACTCTTTCTCCTCTTATCCAAACACTATTCATGGCTTCAACAGCAATACTATCCTTCTTGCTCTTATTTTCTTTGATCACTTTGTCATTTGCATTGGACATGTCAAGTGGACGTAGTAACAAGGAGGTTATGACCATGTACCAGAAATGGTTAATAAAACACCAAAGAGTATATAACGGATTAGGAGAGAAAGACGAAAGATTTCAAACATTTAAAGATAATTTAAAATTCATTGATAAGCACAATGCTGAAAACCACACTTATAAAGTTGGATTGAACGAGTTTGCAGATATGAGTGATGAAGAATATCGTATGTATTTGGGTACAAAGAGTAATAATATTAAAAATAAGATCAGCAGTGAACGATATGCTTATAAGACAGATGATAATGATATATTGCCTAAGTCTGTTGATTGGAGATGGGCTGTTGGTAGTATCAAAAACCAAGGAAGTTGTGGTAAGTTTGCTTCTGATTTTATTAAATTTTGAATCATTTTCATCTATTTCATATAATTTTGTGGCGATACAGGAGCTTGTTGGGCGTTTTCTACAGTAGCAGCAATCGAAGCGATTAACAAGATAGTGACAGGGAGTTCTAAGAATTTGTCTGTACAAGAGCTTGTGGATTGTGATAGAATAAGAAATAGTGGGTGCGAAGGTGGATACATATACGAAGCCTTGGAGTTCGTTGTGAATAATGGTGGGCTTGATTCAGAGGAAGACTATCCATACCAAGAACAAGACGGCACATGTGACGAAGGAAAAGTAAGTGTCTATATTAAGTTTGATAAGTATAATATATATTGAGTTATTAATTATTTTTCTAATAATATGATGCAGAAAAATAGCAAGGTATTGAGCATTGATGACTATGAGCTTGTTCCGAGATATAACGAAAATGCATTGAAGAGAGCTGTGGCTCATCAACCTGTCGTCGTTCAGATTGAGGCTTATGAAAATTCTTTCAAACTTTATAAATCGGTAAGCATACTTATAATCAAAATCACACACATTTAAAATATGATGCTAATAAACTATAGGGTTTATATATATTATTTTCAGGGGGTATTTACTGGTTATTGTGGGACAAACTTAGATCATGCTGTGGTGGTAGTTGGATATGGTTCTGAAAATGGTGTTGATTATTGGTTGGCGACGAACTCATGGGGAACTAACTGGGGTGAAGATGGTTACTTTAAGATTCAGCGTAATTATAGAAACTCAAGGGCAGGCAAGTGTGGCATCGCAATATGGCCTTATTACTGTTGGCTCCTAAATTCGACACCTTTGTTTCAATTGATGACAGCCATTAAAAGCTGAAAGATGCTTTCGACTGGCTAAGCTTGTCGAAGTGACCGTCGAAAGATGGCCAAATACTTAGAAGATTTCTTCCAAGGAAGGAGGCTGATTGCCTTCGACGTCGAAGGAGTTTTCGTCGAAGACGTCTCTTGACGAACGTGTTCGATGGTCCAGAGTGGAGCAGTTTGAAATTCAAAGCTTTGGAGGGAAAACGGTTTCCAGCAGTTACTACGTGCGAACGTGCAAGGATCTGGAGCGTCGAGCATGGAGAACGTGACAAGTGGCTTGATCTCGAAGCAGTGTAACTGCCCGACGGTTACTTGGAATGTTTTTGTATAAATAGGAGTAGACGTGTAGTTTCTCGCGTGTGTTCACAATAGATACATAGTCACTCATTTAGATTCAAGTACCCAGTGTGAGCGAACGAATTGTTGAGAAATGTATGTGTGAAACACCAATTTAATCAATTCAAGTCATTTACTTTTTCAGTATTTTACATGCTTTTCCCTTTAAGATTCCTGTCGAACCTTTACATTCCAGCCTTGTTTATTTTACCAAGCCTTTTCCTTTATGCAATTTACTTTAACCAATTTACTTAAAGCCTTATCCACACTAATTAAACTTCAAAATCAACCTATGTCCATAGGATCAATCTGATCGATCCTGCGAGTAACCAAATAAGTAACCATTTGGAGGATCAGCGTTTGTTTACCAAATCCCCAGGTAAACAATTACCCAGTGAAGCATGCTCAAAACTCTGCAATTACTAATTCAGCCTATCAAAAAACTCAAATGCTTGTTACAAGTTCTTGAAAGACCATCATATCTCAATAATATATGTCTGTATCTTGTAATAAGTGGTGGCTTTCACTGTTTTTCGATCTCATAGTGCTAGTAGAAAGTATTCATCTTTCTGAATGATGCCAAAACCCGTTGGACTGTATTAAAAACGTGTAATGGTTTTGATTTCCTACTGTTCTTTTATATTTGGATTAAAATATCTCTAGTACTCTCAAATAAATAAAATTGTTTATAATTTTTTATTTATAATAAATAGATTTTGTCAGCAACATGCACACCTATTATTGGGTATAATTCGCGGTGATAAAACGGATCGGGTCCGCCGGGCCAGCCCGTTTGACCCATTATTTTTTATGGGCTGAGCTGAGATTTTCGATTCTGTCCCGTCTAACCCGCTTTAAAAGGTGGGGCGGGTTTTGTCCGCAGATTTTTTGTTATAACTTTTTACTTTTTACTTAGAATTAAGACAACTTTAACTATAAAAATAATAGTATTTTTTTGGGTTATTGTGATTGAACTACATTCTAAATTATTATACAGACAAAATGAATTATATTTGTAAGACTTTTTATATAACTTTCTAATACATGTATTGGTTGGAAAAACTTGAAATACAATAACAATTATATAGCATGAAGAATTATTAAGTTGTCAATACATTAACTCACATGTTTTCTTTAGAAACAAATGTTAATTTTAAGAAAATGAAGAATTCGATTAGAGTATATGTGTGACAAATTTAAGATATAACTATTAAGGAATCAATCAATATAATAGTCTATATGACGTAAACAATGAGAAAGTCATGTCTTAATATTTTTATACACTACTATTTATGCATTGTATTCTTATCATTGTTTGTCTTGTGTAAATTATTAATTGGATTCTTCTAGTAATTAGTGTTTAAATAGGATTATGATAACATGTGTTGTTTATTTATTTATTTTGATACATTTTTATCACGCTAGAGTCTATTTCAGTATGTTTTTCTTGAAATTGGTATTTATCTATTTTATTTTTTTTAAGTGTTTGGACTTAAGACATGTTGAAGTTGTATTATGCGTTGTTAAAAAAATATCTTTTGTCGACTTCTTTAGTAATGATTATAATTTTTGTAAATTATGTAATAAATTAAATTGTAAAATAAAAAAATTAAATAAATTAACGGGCTGATCCACCAACCCGCCAACTCGTTAGTAAACAGGGTATACTTGAATTTTGAGCTCATATGCTTAAGTTTGTCCGCCCCACCCCGTCCCGCTTTTGTACGGGCTTAAACGGGGCGGACCGCCCACTTTACCACCCCTAGGTATGATAAAATGATATCGTTAAAAGTCACACATCGATATATTTATCAAATATATATAATTTATAGATTACTAAAATAAAATTATAATTTAATTTCATGAATATTGGAAAATGAAAATTATAGAAATTGCGTGACCCTTTTTTTAAATTAAAAATAATAAAAAGAAATCAATTTTGTAAAAATATTTTTAATCAATTTATAGGTGTCACATATTTTTTTCATTTGTATATTTTCATTATTTACATCAACGAGACACATTTATAAAATTCATACACAAATAGAAGAAAAACGAACATCAAGTTGCACCGATATTCTTTATTAGATGATAAAATCAATCCTTTTAAAAAATATATTTTTAGACCTAGGAGTACAACATTGTTATTTATAACACTCCATTTTTAAAATATTTATTTTATCGTATTATTTATGAATTATGTGTGATTTTGCGTGTTTTGAATTATTGATGGGTTGAGGTAGTAAATAATTATGAAGTAAAGAAATTAAGTTGGAATGATTTAAAGTTATTATGGTAGTTAAAATAATAAGAATGTTTATATAAATAAGTGAAATATTTGAATAATAAAATAATAAGAAAAATAAGGATGTGTAGAAAAATTAAGGACAAATTAGTAATTACGAGAATAATGTGGGGGTAGAAGAGGAAGGCATGATTAAGAGGAATAGATTTATTAGAAGAAGAAAAAAGAGAGAAGGGAATTGGTTTTGCATTGTACGTGAATAATTTGGAATAAAGAGAAGAATGGCTAGGGCGAGATGAAGCAGAAGAGGGGCTTAAGAGAGAAGATTAAGAATCAATTGTCTTTGCTGAAATAATCATGTAGAGGGGAAATTATTCATCTATGAATGTTATATCATGAAAGGGTAAGGAGGTGTCTCTTGGCCCCCATTAGGGCTTATGTGTTCTTTGATTTGTGATGAATCGATGAATATGAACGATGATGGAATGATTGTTATGAGTGTTGAATTTCGTGTGTCCATGTATGAATAAAATTATGTGTCAGTGTGTTCATGTATTTTTCACCATTGATGATTGTGATACGGTGGCAGAATCGACTGTTTTTGTTACTACTGATTTTGTATTTTTTTGTTTGCAAATGTACGGTAAGCAAGAGTCGTCACCGTCTTTTATTTTATTCAACAAAAGAAAAGGGAAAAAGAACAAAAAAAACCTTTTTCGAGGGGGGTAGATTTTAGAAAGGGAAGGTGTTAGCACCCTTTCTATCTGTGGTTTTCCACGGGCTCTTAGGTACTTGCTCATTTTTAAATTTCTTTTGTATGTTTGTGTGTTTGAAAATGTTTTGAAAATGCCTTAGTGTGGCGTTTCACTTTATGGTAACCCTTGTATCAGTCCTCAAGAGTGTGATAAAGTGTTTTTTTTAAAACTTTTGTTTGAAAAGTTTGTTTGAAAGTGTATAGTGTAAAAGATTATTTTGAGCAAGTACTTAAGAGTTTCTACCTACTCGAAAAAAGACTGTTTGTTTTTTCTTATTTCCTTTAGACAACGCTATCCTACTATTAAGGAGTGGGTAGCTCCATCGTTGGAGTTTAAGGGACAATCAAAAGAAACGATTACAGTCACTTAAGACAACAAGGCAAGATCTCTTAGTAACTGTCCTGCAACTCTAAGATCACTTTTTTTTACCGAGGCAACATCGAAAGGGTCATCGAGGGACTAGCGATCTTTCGAATTAGAGGACAACCACTAAAAATTCTCACATTTCGAGAATAGTGACCATTTTTCGAAGGCAACTGAAGTGGGGAAAACCCTAGGAGTGAGCATGTGCAAGTGTTTTTTTTCCAGTCAATTATCTTTGCACAGTTAGGGTTTTCTACTGCTTTAAACATTGATTTATCTTTTGCATACAATCCTATTATCAATCATCTAACAATTTATAATTGCATAAATTAAAAGCGCAAAAGAAAACCTAATTATTACAGGGCTTCGGGGAATGGGGATTACATAACCAAAAACTTGGGGAAAACAGTAAATGAAAATAGTAATAAACCTAAGTTAAAAAGCTATTACAAACTCAAAACAGATACAATAATTGGAAAAATAAATAGGTAAACGCGCGCGAGAATAAATTAAACGAGGAATTAAAGTTTAACGAATCTAATTGATTTAGAAGAAAAATGTTTTTTTATTTATTTTTGAGAAAGTAATTAATTTTATAAATTAACCTAATTTCTAATTAATTTTAATTATAAAAAAGGAATTTAAATTATCCTTATTAACATAATTAATTAATGAAATTAAATATTTTATGAAAAAAACCTAATTCTAATGTTTTTTGTGTTTTTACGATTTTAAAATTTAATTAAAAAAGATTTTTAAAACAATTAAAAATAAATAAAACAATAAAAAAAAGTTAAAGAAATTAAAACAAAAATTAAAACGGGCCTGATATGAGAAGCAATTTGGGGGGGGGGGGGGGGGGGTGCATGGCTGAAATTTTCCAGGCCCAAGCTTGTTGGCCCTTCTATCTGCGCATGATCTAATGGAGATCACCTTTGGAGGGTCTACCATGTTCTTAGCTTGTTGTATGTTGGATCTGATCAGTGGATGATCCAAGGTATGAGATTTTGAGGTGTATGGTGAGCGCGTTTGGAATGGTACTACTGGATCTACAAAGAAATTGTAAGAAAAATAATATGCAGGAGGCAGGGGTCGAACCCCTGACCTCCTACACACGCACATTTTGAAACCCTTCCCCTTTGCCACTGAGCCAAGATGATCATTCATTATCTAAAACACACATAATATATTATATAAAATAATGGTCAGTAGTAATAGACAAAACGCGCGAGATTCAAACTGTCCAACCAGGCTTGCACACGCCATCATCTTCTTCGCTGGGAATGTTGTTTTAGAAAGGACTTTTACCTACAGTCCAATCCGTCATTATAGGCTATAGTGACGGTTTTTGATTGTAGCTACAAACCTGTAAAACTCTAAAACACAATTCAAGCAGAATAAATTCCATCCAAAGACATGGATCGACTACAAATCATCCCCTAAACATGAAAAGGCCCTTAATTTTGTCCAATTTTGCCTCTAGCTAGGGTTCCCCAATTTGAAGCTTCAGAACCCTAACAATGACAAATGATTATACCTGCACTCAAGCTTAAATTGAAATATCCAGAAACATTCACATGATGATCACGAACACAAATATGCAGTCAAATCATATTTATAATGGATGAATGAGTGAAATCGAGATTAGAAAAGATAAGAACAAACCGTGAGTGCAAGGGTGTGGTTCTGGACACTGCAAGCTTTGGGAATGATCGTGATAGCTTCCTAGATGTCCTAGGATTATTCTTTGATCCTTAGAAGAACTTGAATCGACCTCTAGAAGTGAAACCGATCTGCACTTTTTGTTGGAAAATTTGGAATTTTTCTCTTTGTTTTGAAGCTAGCTGCGCATCCGTGCTCTTTTTTTCTAGGTCTTGAGTGTCCTGGTATAAGTAGTGAATCAATCTAGGGTAATGGAATTGGAAAGAATCAAGAGATGTTATGGTCTTTAAGTTTGCTTCCAATCTTTCCAAACATGGAGATTTCTTCCCATTCTCAAACTTGCACGATTTTTTTGGATATTTGACAGCTCATGACATATTCAATCAATGCCAAAACAAATCTTATCCCATTTATTTGATTTATTTTTTATTTAATTTGATTTTA